ACTATCTCTTGTTGTAGGACTCTACTGGTTTTCAGTAGAGGTTCTGTCTGCTGCAAGGCTGTTAAGGAATTTCTTTTGAACACAAACAGAAGTTGCTGGAAAAGCTCAACAGATCTGGCAGCATCTGTGAAGAAAAAAATCAGAGTTAACGTTTCGGGTCCAGTGACCCTTCCTCAGAACTGGACCCAAAACGTTTTTTTCTTTACAGGTGCTGCCAGATCTGCTGAGCTTTTCCAGTAACTTCTGTTTGTGTTCCTGATTTACAGCATCCGCAGTTCTTTCGGTTTTTATAAGGCATTTCTCTTTCTCAGCAAGACAGAGGTCAAAGCTTAGCCAGTATGTTGTGGAGAGAGATGCTTATATGGCAGCTTATGTGTTCCCTGCTCAAGTTTAAATTTGAACATTTACACAAAAGATTGTATCACATTACTTCTTTCCATGTTGTTTGCATATTGCAATGACTCTGGACTACATCTCATGTCTCATAAAGCTTTCCTTTAGCCATTGTTCCAGAGCCAAGGTGATAGTTTTCATGGCCCAGCCATTAACCCGTGAATGATTCATCCTACATTTTGATATAGGAAGGAACTTCACAAAATTGCAGTAATGTTACAGCATAGAAGGAGGCAATTCAGCCCATTGTGTCAGCTCTGGCTTTTCAAACCAGCCACATGACCTTGTGCCAATCTCCTCCTTTATCCCCATAGCTTTGAACGCTATTTCTATTCAGACTACTATACAAATTTCTATCCTGTTTTTTAGATATGAAAGTTCTACATACAAACAGCCAGTAAAATTATAATTTAATATTCAAGTACTCATTTGGCAGTACAGAAATTGAGTATTGCTGAATAAAACACATTTTGTCAAAGCTTTTTGCCTTGATTTCAGCAGGGCCCTTTGCTGGTTGCAAGTGGATTCTCATTGATACAGGTGTTGCCATGGAGAGTGCACCTATTAATGCTGACTGACAGTTAGCTGCAGGCTTTCTTTACATCTTAAATCAAGCACCCTGTTTGGTCAGGCCAGCACTCTGAGAAATGAGCCAGCAAATAGCCCTCACCTATTTTGTTGAGGTGAAATGGTGTCGTGCATATACATGTTCTTTGCATCTTCAACAACAGAAATTGTTGGAACAACTCAGCAGGTGTGACAGCATCTGTGCAACTCAGCATCTGTGGAAACCAATCAGGACAGGTAGATAATAACAAAGTGTTTGGGGAAAGATTTAAATGAGTCAGAAGAGCATTTAGTGAGTAAAAAAACTTCCAATGGAGAGCAGAAAAAGCTCAAGGGAAGCATTAACTCAGAGTTATAAAGAAGATGTAGGTATTAGGACAGAATATTGGAGACGTTGACAGGAAATCAAGAGCAATGGTTGATGAATGATTTTGCATATGGAAAGTGACTTGCAATGGAGTTTCACATGACTCAGTTTTAGGTCCCTTGCAGTTTGTGTTAAAGATTAATAATTTAGCATTAAATTCAGGAGGCATGATTGGGAAATGTTGCAATTTTAAATCAAGCACATTGACCCTATTGGGTCAGGCCAGCAGTCTGAGAAATGAACCAACAAATAGCTCTCACCTACTTTGTTGAGGTGAAACAGGTGCAGTGTGTATACATGTTCTTTCCTTCTGTTGCACCTCAACAAAATAGGTGAGAACTATTTGCTGGTTCAATTCTCAAATCACTGGCCTGGCCAAACAGGGTCAATGTGCTTGATTTAAAATGTAAAAAGAGCTTGTAGCTGTCATTTATCATTAATGGGTGCTTTCTCCATGGCAACATCTCTAGCAATAAGAGTCGACTTGCCCTCCAATCAGCATTCTCCTCTCATACAGTATCAATGTTGCTTTTCCCCTTGAAAAGCGTCTGTGTGTGAATATATATAACCTCCAGCACTTGCACATGCACCCCACTGCACGCCTAACTGACAGTCCTAAGTGGTTGATAGTAAACAGGATGGCTGTCTACTGGAGGAAGATAAATGGTTTGGTTGAGTGGGCGGAAAAGGGGCAAATGGAAATCAGTTTAGAGAAGCATCAAGTAATTCATTTAGGGACAGAAAATAAAAACAAGGGAATATCTAATAAGTGGAAAGGCATACAGAAGGAGAGAGGAAGTGAGAGACCTTGGAGTGCACATCCAAAGTCCTCTGAAGGTGGCAAAGCAAGTAGATAAGATGGCAAAGAGGGCATATAGGACGCATTCGTTCATTGAGCAAGATATTGAATACAAGAGCAGGGCTGTAAAGATGGACCTGTATAAGACAGTGGTTCAGCCACAGTTGGAGTTTTGTTCTGTAAATATTTGTGACCACATTACAGAAAGGACATAATTTCTCTAGAGTGAGTACAGAGGAGTTTTACAATAAAATTACAAAAGGTTTAAAGATTCAGGAATGAGGAAAGATTTAGATAAGCTGGTGTTTTTTTCCCTTGAACAGAGGAGGCTGAGGGTGACTTGAAAGAGCTGTACAAAATAATGAAGGGTTTGTACAGAGTAGATAAGAATAACCTGTTTCACCTAGCGGAGAAATCACAGATTTAAGGTGATCAGTAGAAAGTTACAAAGACACTTTAGGAAAATTGTCCTCACCCACAGGGTGGTGGCTACCTGGAACCATTACTCCATTTGGTGGTTGAGTTGAAAATTGTTGAATCATTGAAAGGGAACCTGAATCTGAAGCTGAAGTTCTCAAGCTGCAAGGTTACAGACCAGGTGGTGGTAAAGTGTCTTAGAAAGGGCAGCTAGTTTATTCGGCCATGATCGGCTCAGTGGTCTCTTTGTGACCTGAAACTTTTCTTTGGTTCTAAGTTAATTGAAAAAGGGTGGGGTTTGCAAAGGAGGACAATCAATACGCTAGGGGATATGGACCTATTGAAATTGGCAACGATGCCTTGGCTGGTGGGACAGACCTTGGAGTGAGCAGTTCTGGATTGGCAGGATTGGAAAGGTCAATCCGAAAGAAGACTAAGGTCCTCCTTAAGTTTCATTTATGATGATACAAGTAGGTGAAGATCTGCATAGGTACTAAGGAAATCCACTTGGTTTAAAACACTGACCAGCTAAATGAAAACACAAATATAATGTCTTTGAAACTTGATGGATTTCTTAGTGAACTGGCAGTGCAGTAGTTAGACAGGACAGAATATGGCCGGTCAGTTACTGAAGGGCTGTGATTGAGCAAATTCAGAAAGTAGGTATTTATTACAGAAAATGACAAAAAACATCACACTGGCCTGCATCTGTTCTGATCAGGAGAATCTTCTAGGAGAATTTTCATCGTTCGCTGTCTAATGTGGCACTCAGATTCTTGACTGTGAGTGGATGAGCAACCAGTGATTATCAATGGTTGTTGCACATTCTGTAAATGCATTCATACTTTTGGCAGAAGGCATCTTCATTTAGTGTATAACAGGAAAGCAGTTGGAGCTGATTACAGACACTCACGGAGCATTTATGTCTTGTTGCAGGTGATTGAATGCATCACGCAAGGCCGTGTGTTGGAGAGGCCGAGAGTGTGCCCTAAGGAGGTCTACGACATCATGCTGGGATGTTGGCAGCGAGAGCCACAGCAGAGGCTGAGTATCAAAGACATTCATCGGATCCTCCAGGCTCTGGGCAAGACCTCACCCATCTACCTGGATATTCTCGGCTAGTGGACCAAGTGCACCAGCCCCCTCCTGAATGTACTCTATCCCAACAGTAAACTTCGGCTTCATTTGGGAAAATCAAAATAAAAAAGTGAAGTGCCTGCTGTATATAAAATGTACAGTTGTTTCTGAGGCAGTTTTCCTGGTACCTGCACGCAGAAAGCTCCTGTGAAGAAATTGCAAAGGAAGTTTGGTTCCAAACAACATCCCTCCAAACTGGCGACATCCTGTCACCACATCCCAACCCGATTGTAATGAGGCGAGAAGCCTCTGCCCGGGGCGGGGGGAGCAGAAGAAAAATCCGCAATGTTATTAGGATCCTCCAACCCACCAGGCCCCCTCGGATGATTGGTTCCAACCAATTTCTTCGCCACAAAGCCAACTTGTGACGAGGATGCTTTTATCCATTCCTATGTTCCGGTAGATTTCGCCTGGTGAGCTGCCCATGGCATGAAGCAGCCCTGCCCTCAGCAAGGGCAGTGAATTCAGATGCTGAAAGGAATCTGCATCAATGGCATTTGGGCAACCTTTCCGAGTTCACTTATAAGGGATCGACAATGTTTGGAATGTTGTAAATCTTTTGAGGGCAATTGCCTGATGATTGCAGGTTGCCCCTATAAAGTGAGAGAAGTGCGACAGGAATACAACTCCAGGGTTGGTTGGGCTACTGAGCTGCAATACCCAGTGGTCAAAGGCAGGTGCCATGATGGTTCTTATTGTCCAACCAAGCGCTTGCTGTAGATCGAATCTGGCTGCTACTTTGGCCAGTTCTGTACTTTTTTTTGTTAACCAACTGTTACTTCAAAGTTGTTGTCAGCTACCTTGTGTGCTGCAGTTATGATGCTTTAATAGACGCCTGTATTATCCATCTGTATATTTATAAGCAGAAATCTTTTCACATTACTTTTAATTTCCAGGCTACAAGACTCAGCAATGTTTGAAGAGAAAATAAACTCCATGTTAATTATGTGGAGGCAGGAAGAGCTCCATTCCATTTACTTCCTGAGCTAAAGGCCATAGAGCAATGAGTCACAGGCGCTGATGCCTGTCACAGGAGGGCAAAGAGAAGTGAAACCTAATCGCTGTTTCCAGTGAGTTATCGGTAAAACGTCTGTAGACCACATGCCCATTTGAAATGCATTGGATATTCTGCCAGCGGTAGCGACTGTTCATGCCAAGCAGATGGGAGCCCATCACTCAAAGCTGCTTCCCACAGTTGGCATTAATCTTGCCTCCTCAGCCAATCTCCTGTACAGTGGAGAAGAGGTATTGTAATTCGCTTCAAAGGAGTGCTGGCTGGTCAAGGGGAAGGCCTTGTGTTAAGAGGCCCCATTCCCTCAGTGTAATTAAAACAAATGGTCCCCTTGGCATTAAAATAATATCAAGTGCAACTGGGCATGACTACTGAGTTTTAAAGAACCATCAGCCCGGTCAATTGCTCCCGTCTGATGCTTGTATGAGCTAAGGGAATGCCTATATTGCACTGAGACCACCTCTTCCACCTCTTCCTACTGTTTGGCTATTGGCCACCTGGTCTTTGTCTGTGGACTGCCTGCTATCCAGATTAGTGCCAACTGCAGACCTGTTCCTTAGCAAAAGGAAGTAAAGACGGAATGGTGAGCATTTGTAGGATATCAGAATGTGAGGATGAACTTTAAACTTGCTGAGTATCACCCCTCCTCAGCCACATTGTAGAGTTTTCCGTTAGTATGTTTGTTCCGAGTAATCTCAAATACTGTGCTCCCAGAGACTAACTAAATGAGCAAAGAACTAATATCTATGTTGTAGATGACACTCTCCAGAAAACCTGAACAAACCTGCATTGTCTCAAAGAAAGCAGTGAGCTTAGCACACCGGTCCTCTGCTTCATCAACCCCAAGCTTCCTTCTTGCATTGAGAAAACTTTTAACTCCTTTGTCTACAGTTTGGATTTGTGCTGAAATGGAGAGAAGGTGAAGGTACAGTGGCCCAATCATGCCTCTCCCTGCTATTCTCTTACATTCATGGACACTTACAAAATGGGCAGATTGACAACTGAACAAAAGATGGAAGCGCTGCTAACGACAGTAATGTTTCAGAAGCCCAGCAGGATATGGCACTGTGTACCAAGTAATAGCACGCACCTCTGAAGGCTTGGCATTATAAACCTTTGAACAAGAGCTCAAGGACATAAACTGAGGGGGAGATATAAGTGGCTCTGAATCGCTGCATTCACATGACATATTATGGGATCTACTGATCCACAAAGGCTGCAGACAGTGCACTCCCCGTTCAGATATTCATTTTTTTTTTGATAGGGTGCTCCTGTTTCAACATTACCCCAAAAGGAGCTAAAGTGTTGAAAACCTGCAGAATACACTTTGTTTTGCTGTTAACTTATTATGTTTTTAATCTGCTACCATCTATGTCATGTTGCTTTTGGCAAAAGAGAATTAAGCAACACCTTGTAATGTTTTGCTGCTATGTATGACCATTTTCTTCATCGCTACACTGTGAACTTCCAGATTTGGAAGTTCCTGAAAATCAAATGGTTATTATTTACCCAGTTTCAGCACTTCACCCACTGAACAATGTCACCATCCTGGGAGTTGCAGTTACATGACACCAGGATCAAACCTGGGAGTGACAGTGACTCCAATGAACTTAATTAATAAGGGGGTAAAAATTACTCTGGGCACTTAATTTGTGTGTGGCATAATCATAAAAAGATTATTAGAATATTTCTCTTGTATCTCTTGCTATTTTATAAACACATTTCCAATTTTATTGCAACTGCTGAGCAGAGGAAATCTTCATCAATGCATTTATGATGCCACCACACACACACAGCAAATGAATGTACCGCAAGAACTCTGGCCCAGCTTCTGCGACACCACAGCTGAAGGACAGTGATATGAGAATGGGAAAGTGAGTGCTGCCAAGTTCCAGATTTATCTGTTTCAAATCTCCGTCAACAGGGTGCAGAATACAATCGTTGCCCCTCTTCCCAACTCTCCATTCTGTCTCCTGTTCAGAAGTGCAGATGAATGGGGTAGTTTGTATGTGACTGTGTAACTCTAACATTCTTTTGCCTTGGAAATGCAGTCAGCTGGAATGCTCATTAAAGACTCATTAATTAAGGGCCCTGTTATTCCATGTAGACTGGAATCTGACAGTCTTTGCAGTTTGCAATATATTCATCATCTGATAGCTGAGTGATTCTCTGTAAATCTTAAGCTGATTAAAAGCAGTAAAAGTCTAAAAATGTTTTGTAAAATTCTGAGTAAAAACCTTAACAGAAGTGTTTTTTTTAATGCAGACTCGCTGCAGCGAACAAAACTGCCGATAAACTATCTGTTCAGACTTAATAATTGTGCTGGTCAGGTAGAGCAATCATCCAGGATGGATAGAAGGTAAAGGCTTAACACAGTATCATAAATCCACAGCCTTGTGAGGCTCAGTCAGTACTTGGTAGCCAAACTCAATGGATTGAGTAACTGTTCTGTAACTCACTTTTAATCATCCCTAGTGTTTTAAACAAATCTCAATCAGTCGTGTGACAAAGCAGCTTACCAGGGGTGTTCCATGTCATGTCAGCCAAGTGAGAAGAAATTTTGAGACAGAAGGAATGTATGCTACTTTTCATCAAATGATTAACAGGAGTATATTGCCAGAATGCTTCAATAACAAATGCGAGATATGGTTAGAAAAGTAGAGTCCGACAAACCTGTGAGCACTCATAGCATTTGTGCCTGTTGGCTTGGTCGAAGGCCCAAACTCTCCACCACACTACTAGCTCACAAGGAGACAGTAGTTTACACTAGCTTACCCTACACGTCAGGAACTCACATTCTACCAAGATTCTGACTCTAGCCTATTCTCTGTTTCCCTCTGCCCCTGCCTGTGACCCTGCCATTGGCAGGCATGCATTTAGCCTTCCAAACTTTGGGCTCTGGAATTCCTTTCTTAATCACCTCCTACTTTTCACCCCACTGACCCCTTGAAGATCCTCTTTGACCAGGTCCCACCCAACAGGTCTTACTTTCTTAGTCCATTTTTATCTGATTACGCCTCTGTGAAGCAACTCGGAACATTTTTCTACATTAAAGGCGCTATATAAATGCAACTTGTTGTTGATGACAGTTTATGTGAGTGAAATGTATAGTCATATGTGGGCATGAGACCATGACAGTTTTTACCAGTTCTATTATCAGCCACATAATGACTGTGTCAAATAAAGGCCTTCTGCTCCTCACTTTCACACAAACCTCTCGTGCTGTCTGTCTTTTTGTGTGTGCTTCTCTTTTTAGCTGTCTCTCCATTTCTCTTTACAAATTGGTTTGAAAATGAGGATACGGTTGAAGTTGGCACTGAGACTAGAGAGTCGTAGAATACACACTCGATCAGAAAGATACAGGGGTAGTTTAGGACCCCCATGACAGAGCAGTCAGTGTAAAAGGCATGTGCCGATGGAAAGTCTGAAACAAGCTAATGATATTGCTCAGTCAGCAAACACAGACAAAATAGAGAAACTAACATTTTAAATATGCACCTTGCCATCCAATCACACGCCAAAGTGGAAATGGCAGGGTAGTTAACTTGGCAACTGTGCTAGCTCCAATCTTGCAAATCTGCAAGTTTATAATCTCCTTTACCCCCATGCAGACCACACTCAGATTGGCTAAATTGGCCTGTCCTCTCTGCGGATGTTAGCTCTGAGTTACCTGGAACTCATTTTCAAACCTGTTTGGATTTCACAGCTGTCCCCTCTCCTTCCCAACTCGGCTATTTGCTCAGGCTCCACTCCCTCTTGGCTATTAACACACACTTTGTCTAGTTAATGTCTCAATATTTATTTTTGTCACCAGGCTGATGTGATCACACCATATTTTTCTATATCTATACACGTATAGCTTCCATCCCTTCTCTGTTTCTGTTACTATGCCTGCCTGTCTGCCTTGTATTGTTCAGTTTTAAGGATGAGTCATCTCTTGAAACTTTAACTCAGACGTTCTCCCCGTTGATGC